GGGGGTGTTAGGATGTTAAGGTGCATTTTTAGGTCCCTTGGTTGTTTTTCTGAAGTGGCCATTTTAGTTTCTCTGGGGATTTGAGGAGGCCATTTCACAGCTCTGGGTTTTGTTGTTGCACCTCTTCAACAGAGAATGAATCATAGACGGGGGATAATTGCCAATTTTAAACATGTCAATTGCAATTCTTTATAGCGACATTACTAGTTTTCCTAGAAAGAAAATTTTATGACCCTGGTTACTGAAATGTGCTCATTCATATACAGATCTGCTGGTTTGCGCACATTTATTTTGAAAGTATAATCATAACTAAAATAATTTTGTTATACCCCAGAAGAAAATCACAACTTTGAGTTCTTTCCCATTAAACATGTTTTAGATCCTGGTAGATGATCCTGATGAATGAAAGGTACAACATGTGTTTATATATATATATATATATATATATATATATGTTTTTCTGCTTCTTTTGATAATTTTTGCTTTAAATATATCCACTTATATGCTTTATTGTAACAAAAACAATAAGGGTTATCTTTACCTGATAAATAATAAATAATTAATTTGAATGAACAAGAAAACAATTACACAAACTAATGTGCATATATCCTGTCTTGATTGCACCTAAACTTTTCCCCCCTTTTGACTGGAGTGTTTAAGCTGGGTGATTGATTGGTGATCAGTGCTCAGAGCCCTTTGAGTTGTTACTCTCATTGTAGACACAACCTCTCCTGTGATTCTCTCCTTAATTACACAATTACTGAATGTGATTAAAAGGTTAAAGCCAGGATGCTATCTGTGTACTCATGTATTTTATACAGAAGTGAATGTGTATGCATGTACAGCCTGTTTCAGAGCGCAAGAAAGTGAAAATGAGAGAAAGGGATGTGTAGAAGACTGGGCACTAGGGTTAGATTTATTGGTTGTAAAGTGAACAGAGTTTTGGGCTTGATTTACAGCCGTTGTTCCTCTCCATCTTGTTTGGCTGACTGGGTCCTGCAGTCCACTGATAGGGGCTAAAGCCAGACGTAAAAGCAGCTTTGATGGCTTTGAATGCTGGGAATCAGTTCAGCCAATCATAAAAGAATAAATAATACATTTTTGGAGGCCATTTATACTGGTGCACAGGGGCAGCCTGAGCTTAAAGGCTCTGTAAAACTACAGCTGAACTTTCTCCGCTGGCATCTCTTACAAATCCAAATTAAAACCAGTATTGTGAAATGACACATTAATGGGTGACATCAGTGTTTGATAACAACTTTACAAAAATCCACTGAGCAATCTTAATTCCATCTTAATCTTGTGTCTTCAGGCTTTTGAAATATCTGTACGTGGGTAATAAATATCGGGTCGGAGCCATATGGCAAGCTGGTCTGAAGTGTTAAGCATTAGCCTTACATACGTTTGACTGAATCCAATTGCCATAGCAGCGGCAACAACAATCTGACACTCCTCTCGATGGCCAGATGGCTAAAATGGCCTCAGAACGGTTTTGCGTTACCGTGGCGTATGTTCCTCGCTCTGTGAAAGTCGTGATAGCAACGGTGCTACATCATTTGCGAAAGCGCGTAATCTTTTGGCGGATTAGAATAATAAACATTTGGCAGCCAAACAAACACTCAATCTGTCTTCCCATGCGGATGGTCTCTGAATTGGTACGCTGAGGTTTATGTTTAAGCCAGCCACTCTTTACAAATCTCCTCTTGTTTTTTTAAAGGGGGGGTACAATGCTGTTTCATGCATTCAGAGTTGTTTACCCTGTTAAAGAGTTGGATTCTCATGCTAAGCATGGACAAAATAAAAAAAAACAATGTGTATTTCTGTGCTAAAAATCTTAAAATCTGAGGGTTTTTTTCGATCGTGGCTCTTCATGATGTAGATGAGGGTGGAACTCCTTATATGGGCATTTATCACGGAAGAACGCGCCCACGCACACATCGACCAGAGCGAGAGCTAGAGCGAGATCGCGCCCATCAACGCGCTTCATCCGGCGGCAGCGCTGCACGGGACTTGCTCGGAAAGAATGTCTCCAATCCAAAGAAGTGTGTTTTTGGTTGTAAGGGAAAGATAACTTTGTTCAGCTTCCTAAAGAACCC